GATTGGATCTAGGGCATAACACTTATATCACTATCTAATTTCCAAATAACTTATTTATTCCCGATTATCTTAAAAGAAGGCTAGAAGTTAGGATTTAAATTCATAAAGTAAAATCTTGGGCCGGTTTGAACCTCATTTTTGGTGTAGAATGCAATTTGAAATAGTAGATTGATGAAGAATGTGTGGTTAAAAAATAAAGAAAAGTTTCGGTTTTGTATGTAATATTTTTTTATTGAAAAATGTGTGATTGAAAAGAAGAGAGGTATCAAACAAAGACCTAGTGTGGCTTAAAAACGTGAATCAAAAACTTGGACTTAAATGAGAATTATAGCAGATTGCAGAGGGCACAACCAGCGCGCAATTTCACTAGAATGCAGCTACATTTCGGTTGCATGGGAGGACAGACATCAGTTCAACTACTAACATGGGACAATTGGATGAAGCTGGAAAATAAACTATAAACAACTTATGCAACTGCTACAAACATTTACAACAGATTTAATTCCATCCATGGGTTGGAAAATATAAGTTTTAAGGCACTTCCATTTTATCCAATAAGAAGAGCCCTTCCTTAGATTCCGAGAATTACTAAATTAACCTCATATACAAACCTTAAATTAAGGATCTTCCGAAACCCTCCCACGGACATGAGCACACAGACAAATTTAAGGAGAAAGCTATGCATATAAAGAAGAAGAAAATAGAAAGGAACAAATTTCAGACACGAAAATATAAGAGAGAACCAAAATTCAATATGAACAAATTGTGAAATCGCCATTATTGGAGGTTACTGCCGGTTTTTAAGAGTATAACATTATTTGATAATTAAAGTAAATAAAAGACTTATACCTACTTCAGCCCGACCTATAGCTTCCATAAATCTTTTATAACAGTACAAAACGTGTTTTTAAAGTTGAAAGAATATTCTGCTCAACTATCTATTGTAAGACAGTTAATGGGTTCCCATGTTACTTCATCAACAGTGGTATCATTGTGAAAAAAAGAACTCAACTAGACAAGAAAGAAAATAATGATGTAGGATCAATGCT